TTAGAACATATAAATATACTATTTTGCTTAGCTCATTTTTATGTGAGTAGTAGGCATTGCTTTAAAAAGTCAAAAGTTGTAATTCATCGTACTCGTATTCATTCTTAGCAAAATGTTTTTACTTGGAAGTCTTAAATCGCAGATCAAAATAGCACCATGGCGTGTAGTAGTCCGCACTTTGAAAGTGGCAGTAGTGGGTGCTGGTGGAGGGATTGGTCAACCACTATCGCTCCTAATCCGTCGCAGTCCTGGAATCGATGAACTGGCTCTCCATGATCTCACCGAAATGAAGGGCATTGCTGCGGATCTCTCGCATGTCAGTCAAAAGGGAAAGGTAACTGGTTTTACGGGTGACGTCGAACTTGAGCCAGCGGTTAGAGGAGCGGATTTGGTGGTTGTGGCCGCCGGAATGCCACGTCTTCCAGGAATGCAGCGGGACCAACTGATGGCCGCCAATGGCGGTGTGGCTGTAAGAGTGGCCACTGCAGTGAGTAACGCCTGTCCAGGAGCCCTCTTGGCCTTCATCACCAATCCGGTCAATATGATTGTGCCAACGGCAGCGGAGGTCCTTAAAGCCCATGGCGTCTATGACCCCCGACGACTTTTTGGCATAACCACTTTGGATGTGGTGCGCTCGAAAAAGTTCATTGGTGACTCCATGAACATAGCGCCGGATGACGTTCATATTCCCGTGATTGGAGGTCATGCCGGGATCACAATTTTGCCACTTCTCTCGCAGTGTCAACCAAAGCTTAAAGGAGGTTTAGAAGAATTCAAGAAACTAACCAATCGCATTCAGGAGGCCGGAACAGAGGTGGTAAATGCCAAGGCTGGTAAGGGATCGGCCACCCTATCGATGGCATTTGCTGGCGCACATTTTGTGGACTCCCTGCTTCGTGGAATTGGTGGTCAGGAGGGCATCATCGAGTGCGCCTTTGTCGCCTCGGAATTAACGGAGGCCCCCTTCTTCGCCAGTCCCCTGAAATTGGGTAAATATGGGATCAAGCGATATCTGCCCCTACCCCAGATGAGTGACTCTGAAAAGGAGTCGTTGGATAAGCTACTTCCCATTCTACAACAAAATGCCAATGAGGGAATCGAATTTGCTAGGAAGTCCTTGAAGGAATTAGAGAAGGCTGCCCCAGCAGCTTTGCCATAATGTCAAAAAATGTGTTTACTTTATTACATAATAGTTAATAAAGAAAAAGGATTGTAATTTACTCTGGCTAAATGGTAAAAGGAAATTGTATTTAAAGAGCAAAGAATCCAAATATTGTGTACTCAATTTAAATATTTTTTGCTTTGATTTTTAAAATTGCGGTGTTTAATCATTAAAATAGGAAATAAACTAGTTTGAACATTTTAAAAATTATCTACGTCATGTAAGAGTCGATTTATAAACTGAATTTTTGGTTTTAGCAAAAACGGTATTTTCTGTTTTTGATATTTTTTGAATTATTATATTATTGTGAAAAAAAATACTTTTGCTTTATTTTGTGATTTATTTTATTTCCGCAGGGCAGCTTGTCAGCTTTTTCTACAAAGGACAGTCTAGAGAAAGTAGCTAAGTAATAGTAAGAATAATATTTAAGATTGAGACAAGGAAGCGAGTGGAAGGACAACTTCACTTAAAAATGTTGAGGGAGTTTTGTTTGGGATTGTGGTTATCTTTAAATTCATTCGGTTTTATTTCTGTTTAAATGGCCGCAAATAAATTCCGACCAAAATATTTCTGTGGCCCGGCGTATATCGTCTGGCAGTAAATTACATTTGCACTGAGACGCTCTCTGCTCGACCTGCTAACAAATTGCTTGGCCATCTTTGGCCCCCCGCTCGAAAAAGCCCAACTTCCTTTCCATGTGTGGCCCCCAAAAAGTAGGCAGCAATTTTCTTCACTTTATTTCACACTCGCCCCGTAAAAACGAGAAACACATTGGGTGTGTCCATTTTATCTTGTTGTCCCCTCCCTCTTTCGCTTTCCAAAAAACAAGGAATGGAAAGTGGGTGGCGCCAAACTTTCTTGCGACCCAGTTTCACTTTCACCAGGAGTTTACCTGGCCAAGTTTTAGTTGGAGCGTGTGTGTGAGTAATTCCTCTATTGCGGCTGCATTTGTTGCTGCCACCAAGACAACCTGACAACAAGATAAATTAAGCCAAGGCAGTTCAGACAACATGTTGGCCAGTGGGCCACCTACGAACAGAAACCAGAAAATGTATTTCCAAATAACAAAACTGGGCTCCAAAAAAGGTGTCCAGTTAAGTGGCTTTCCAAGTCATTACGTTGGGGAATTATATGGCATTGAAAGGCTCGAACTCACCATTCTCATGTATAAAATATATAATATTCTGCTTTCCTTAATTTTTATGCAATATTCTTTCCATAGTTACACCGTACTCTTTTTGCTTATTACGATTTTCTCTACGACCTCATAAATATTCTTTTTCTGGCCTCCGGGCAATTTGTTGGCATTTTGTGGTCATATATTTCATATGCAACACTTTCCGTTTATGGGTTAACTAATTGCAGGAAAATTCGAAGCTACATCGGTAAACCATTTTCGGTCGAAATACTTTCAGCAAGTTTCGGAGCTCTTTTCTTATTTCTGATTTGGCTACGCTGCTGCTTTCTGTTTATTCGGACACAAACTTTTTGTGGGTCATGCCGAGTGTTTACCTGAGCATCGTAAAACTTTATTTATTAGCGAAAGTCATTTGGACCGCTGTTGATTTTTCGGGGCATATTAAAAAAGTTGCCAAGTAGAAAAATCATCATACTAGAACTTAGTTTTTTATTGGTCAGCTTCGGCTGTCTTTTAGTTTCACTTTTATTAAAAGCAGTAATCTATAAAAATATGTTGTGCCGTGGGATGCCAAAAAGTGAAAAGCCTTTGCGAAAATTCTAATTAAAGAAAGTATTTTAGTTTAAGTTCTTCCACTTCTTTAGCATCTGCTCTTCTCGAAATGTTCATATAAATCACTTCCCCTTTTGGACAAATACGAAACCAGAATACGAATCTGACCAGACTCGCTTCACGCTTATCAAAACAAATAAATTCCTCCGGCTAAATGTGTTCATTTATCTTAATTTAGGAGTTTAGAATGCCAAGCGAGCGGGGTGAGTGAAACAATAATTTTTCACACTATTTTCATAGATCCTTGTCAAAATAGGAGAACCGGAAGCCTCGGAGAACCGGAAGTCCGAGCAGCTGGGCTAAAGCTCGCCCGGGGCGTTTAATTTCCATGGAACTGCACATAAATTTCCCAGTTGGCTGTAATTTCTGGCCAAGGGTTCGGGAAACCTTCTTTGTGGGGGCGTAAACAAGGCAACCTAAAGTTGCAGCTTGAAATTCGCTTTCGATGCGAATTTATGGCCGTTTCCCTTTACCTTTGGCCAGCCGTAATTTTATTTTTATTTTATTTTTGGTAATTTATTTCGAGAGCGGTCAAAACAAACACGTTAATTTCGCAAATTAGTAGCATGTGTTGATCCCCCCAACGGGGCTTAATTAGTTTAAAAGGCCGGCCGGTTGGATCGATAGGTCCAACAGCTGAGAGTTGTCTGAGTTGGTTATGGTTGGCCCATAACTTTGCTTTACTTTTGCACTTGTCAGGACGATGTGCAGGACGAAGGAGATGAATTGGAGCGGCTTCTGCCAAGAGCCGGACTCGATGTAGTGGCCCTTGGCTCGTGGATCTCCATAAACTCCTGGCCAAAAGGCGCTGGCTGCCAAAACTATTACTCACACTCCTTCGCCACCGGCGAACTGCGAACGGCAACGGACGGATAATTCAAATTGTCCATTACGCGCAGCTGCCGCTCGATTTGAGTCCTTTGGCAATTGGCCGCGGCGACTCCTGCCAAGTTTTCCGCTTTTGTTTGTCTTCATAAATTCCACTTTCAAAGGAAATTTTGCAAACTGAATTTAAGTCAGTCCGCTTGGGGAATTCGGTGGCTAATTGCGAATCAACAGAAGCTCGATTAAAAAGCAACGCCATTGCCAATCAATAAAAACAATTGAAAACCAATCAGAGTTTAATTACCGCAACAAAACGCTGATGAGACGTCGACAGTAAACGGAAAATCCCGTACAAGGAGCGAAATCACCAAACCATAAATCAATAGCAAACAAAAAAGCTCCTCGCCAGCATATATCCTGGGGGCTAGGAGTATGTAGCATGGAACATGGAGCATATGAGGCGCAACCAAGTAGACCGCAGAATAAAGGCAACAATAAAAACTGGCAATAGGGAGGTCTCGTAAAAGAGCGGGGTCCATGAGGATGCCCATAAACAAAGAAGTAAACAAGCGCCAAGCACAATAAGTACAATACACATGCTCAAACAGGCCCAGCATATATGGCGGTACATAAAAATGTCTCCTTGGGTGGACTTCCGCCGGAAATGGAGTGCAGAACGAGCAGCACTTGTCTGCTTGTCTGCTGATATCAGCAGCGATAGACGAGCGCATAAAAGCGTGCTAACCAGCTCAAAGGCATCATCATTGGTACGAATATAAAATAAATAAATAAACAAATGATGTGGGAGCTAAATGTGAGACGAAAACGAGCTAAGCAAATATCTCAGTGTTAAAAATTGCCTTGCTTAATTTATGATTGGCTTATTTATTCTGCGGATTTCTTTGACATTTGTTGAACCAATTGTGAATGTACGTAACATATTTAAACATATGTTTCGTTTTAAGTGATATTCGTGTATTAATTCTCTTTTAGTTAATTTTAAATTTTATTGGTAAAAAATTTATTTCAAATACTCAAAACTGTGAAATGTAGTTTTGCTTTAACTGTAGTGTGGTTCCTTAATAATATACCCAAATGTGTGCGGATTTTCATTAAAATTACATAAATTTTTTTTTGCTATTTCACCAGTTGTCTTTTCCCAAGAATTCATTTAATATTGCTCAATTAGGTCCCAAACCAAGGGTCCATTAAAAGTCCACCAAAATTCGAGCAGCTTGTCAGTCAGTCACAGTCTAAAACAGGATGCAGTTGCACGATTATATGAAGTATATAGACCGAGGTTGCTGGATGGGGCTTATACCACGATACCAATGGTCAGGACGTCCCACGGATAGAAAACCATACAGGTTGGAACAAAAGGCCCTGTTCGTACTTGCGGTCATTTGTGCAATGTACCAGATTTTCGGAGTGATTATCTATTGGTATCGAAACGGACGGTTGGCAGAGGATACAAGTACGTTCGTCACCGAAATTTCGGAAATGTGCGGATCTCTAATGCTAACCACAGTGGGATTTGGCAATATATATGCCCTCATAAAGCCCCGGAATCTGATCGAAAATATGTTTGAGGAGCTCGAGGAGATATATCCCAGCCAAAGCGACGAGCACTATCGCTGCCAGCTCTACTACGACTTGGCTATGGCTATAATGAAGATTGAGTTCATGTTCTACATGGTCTTCTACGCATACTACAATAGTGCCCCAGTTTTGTTGCTGCTCTGGGAGAACCTGCAGGAGGGACAGGAACTGAGTTTCAAGACGCAGACCAACACTTGGTTTCCCTGGAAAGTCCATGGCTCAGCACTTGGATTCGGAGGGGCTGTACTGTGCTTAATCCTGGGTTCGTTTGTGGGCGTGGGCTTTAGCATAGCCACTCAGAATCTTATCGTCATATTTACATTTCAACTAAAACTGCACTATGACGGCTTGGAGAGTAAGTTACTTCACCTGGACTCTCGCCAGCCCAATGCAAATCAACAGTTGAGGGATCTGATTGCCTATCACTCGCGCATCCTTCACATCGGGGACCAATTCAATCACATCTTGAACTTCGTGTTTGGGACCAGTCTGGTTGGTTCTACAATTGCCATTTGTATGTTGAGCGTGGCTATTTCGCTACTCGACGCGGCCTCCGCCATCAAGTATGTGAGTGGTCTGACTGCATTTGTCCTCTACCACTTCGTCATCTGCTACATGGGCACAGAGGTCACTTTCGCTGTAAGTACTACACATACCAATGATATTGGTGACATAACCCTATAATAGCTGGTAAGTCAAACAGTTGTCTGTTCTCAGAGAACTTAGAAATTACTTAATAAGACCTGCAGACCGACGTATAAAAGCCGTTATATATTCCAAAGCAATATCAGTTTACTCGCAGTTTAGAACGGAATGCAGTTGATAGACTATATGAAGTATATAGATCGGGCCACTCGCTTTGGGTGTGTTCCACGCTATCAATGGATTGGAGGGCCACGAGATAAAGAACTACAAACAAAACTTGAAAAAAGTTTATTTTTACTTGGAACATTTTTTTTGATCTACCAGATCATTGCAATTATTACGTATTGGTACCTGTTTGGTCGCACAGAAACGGAAACGGTCCAGTTCGTTACACAACTTTCGGAAACTTGTGGCTCACTTATGCTTATTATTGTGGCAATTTGCAATATATGGACACACACCAGCAACCGATCCAATATTGAAGCGGTGTTCGCGGAGCTCCAGGCGCTGAATCCTAGACCAGGAGATGAACATTATCGGTGCCAGCACTACCAGAAAATGGCTATTTTAATAATGAAGATAATCTATACATTTTACATGATCTTCTATGTGTATTACAATGGCGCGCCACTTTTGTTGCTCTTTTGGGAGAATCTGATGGATATGGACATGACCTACAGAATGCAAACCAACATGTGGGTTCCCTGGAGGGTTCAGGGTTCAGCCCCTGGATTCGGGGTAGCTATTCTTGTCCAAGGACTGGCTGCGTATGTGGGCATTGGCTTTGGCATGCACACTCTATGCTTAGTCTGCATATTTACTTTTCAACATAAGCTGCATTGTGACGCCCTAGCAAGCCAGCTACTGACCCTCGACTCCAGGAATCCAGACTCAAATCAGAAATTGAGGATGTTGGTCGCCTATCACTGTCATATCATCGAGATCGGGGAGCAATTCAATCGGATCTTGAACTCCAGTTTCCTGAGTAGCCTAATTTTCTCAACTGCTGCCATTTGTATGACAAGTGTGGCTGTTCTACTGCTCGACCTGGTATCTGCCCTCAAATATGTCAGTGGCCTTGTGGCATTCGTCCTCTATCACTTCTTCATTTGCTACATGGGCACTGAGGTTACTCTAGCGGTAAGTGAGATTTTTGGTAATTTCTTTATTATGTTTTGGATGAAAGAAAAGATAGCGAAGAATCTTCAGCTATAGAAACTAAAAATTTAAAGCTAGATGATTTTGTAACTGATTTAAGGAAAAAAGGTCGTGTGTAGTAAACCAAAAGCAGCTGTCTTTTCTCAAGACCTTTTGAAAAGCTGATTAAAAATTACTCATTTAGGGCTTGCTATCCCCACAGTATAAAAATTCACATATATCATGGCATTTTTGAGTCAGAACAGGATGCAGTTGCACGACTATATGAAGTACTCTGACCTGTTCCTTATTTTCGCCATGGCTCTGCGTTTTCAATGGAATGGATGTCCGACAGGGAGAGATAATTATGCCAGAAAGAGAAATATTCTATATATTTTAAATAGTTCAAATACTTAAGCTAAAAGTGTAAAAAAAAATCACAATTTATTAGCCATTAGGCATAGAGAAACTATCTGTTTCCCTGTTTAATACATTAACTTAAAATTCGGAGGTAGAAAGTTCAAGTAGTGGAACTTCAAGGTCCTAGGCCTAATTGCCATTTCAATATTTAAACGATTTGTTACCAAACTACCCTAATTAAGTAATTTCCAATATGCATTTCAAAGAGCTGAAGCAGTTGCTCGTTCTCACCGTGGATTATGCAATCAAATACCTTTTTTCGCCAGAGAATACAGCTTGCCTAGATTAGTAGCAAATAAGTACCAAATGCAGTTGGAGGACTTTATGAGATATCCAGACCTAGTCTGTTGGGTGGCCCAACTGCCCAGAATCGAGTGGAGCGGAAGAAGATGCAGAGTCAATCGCACTCTAGCCCAACGCTTTTTCTTCTGGTTTGGTGCCCTTAACTTAGTATATCACAATATTGGATTGATCATGTGCGCGCGTTTTGTTGATGGAAGTGCAATGGACCCGTTTGAATATGTTTCGGAGCTGACAGATATTGGTGCCATGCTTGGTTTTACCACCATGGGCACTTTAAACTTATGGAAGATAATGAGGTGTAAGCCAGAGATTGAGAAATTGATGGAAGAGTTTGAGGCGCTGTTTCAACAAGCCAAAAAGAGGTCATATCGTATTCAGCACTACTACGAGGCGCATACGCGACTTATAAAAAAATCCGTCAGATTTTATGCCCCAAGTATTTGCTACTACAATTTACTGCCAATTATTCTCATGGTTGTGGAACTATTGACAGACAATAAGCAGTTAAGTTATCGAATTCAGAGCAGTGCCTGGTATCCCTGGAAGGTTCATGGAAGTTTTTCTGGATTTTTTGCTGCCGTTGTGTGTCAAGCCTTTTCGTGCCAGATCGACTTGGGTATCATCATTTTTACCCAGTTTTTGATATCCTTCTTCGGCATCCAGCTGGAAATTCAATTTGATGGATTGGCCAGGCAGCTGGAAGCCATCGATGCCCGTCACCCAGCAGCCAAGGAGCAGTTGAAACATCTCTTAGCATACCACATTAAATTGTTCAATTTGGCGGACAGAGTGAATCACTCGCTAAACTTTACGTTCTGTGTGAGCTTCACGGTATCGATCCTGTCCATGTGTTTTCAGGGCATTTCCGTGATCATGGGGGACTTAGGCCCGGCCCTAAAACATATGCTAGGACTTTTCGTCTTCTTGGTATACAATTTTTCCATTTGTCGCAATGGTACGCACATCAGTATTGCGGTAAGTTTTTAATAGGGAGGACAAAATTATCTTTTAAAATTTCTTTTATTTCTTAACCAAAACTATTTATTTAGAAATAAATAAATTACCTTAAATGATTGTTTTGTTTTCATTACCTTGATAAATATGATTTAATTTATTTTGTCAAATAAAAAGTAAATCTAAAAAAACTTGTATACACAAATTATATCTTTAATTATCTGCCTTATTGTTTCACTCATAAGTTCAGTACATTTTTTGCACACTTATATCAACCTTAAGTGATTTTCTAATAAAAAATATACATTTTTACCTCCTTAAAATTTAAGAAGGGACCTCAAGCACACGATTCAGTGCGTGGGAACTCACAGAAATTTATAATTGACATAATAATCTAATTAACCCAGTTACATGTTCTCAGGTTAGGTTGATTGCCTAATTTTTGCAGAATGATTTTCTCGAAAAAAACTAGTAAGAAGTGGCCTTTAAAACGATGCAGTTCCAGGACTTTATGCACCATACAGGCATACATAGCTTGTCGATGGGATATGTTGCCAAGAGTTGAATGGAATGGCAGAGAGTCACCGAGAATTAAGGAAACGAGGATGGAAAAAATAATTTTTTTATATAATATTATATAATATTTCGCTGTTTGTCTACGGCTACCAAATCGATCCGAAAGCTTTATGCTGGGAATATTACGGAGTGCCTCTTATAATCATAACCTACAAAATTCTGTTGACTGCCAAGCAAGACCTGGTATCCATGGAAAATTGAAAGTTCAATTTTTGGATTCTGTGTTTCATATTTATGCAAAGCCATCTCGTTTGCTTAATTCGACTTTTGCGGTATGCTCTTTGGCCTATACTTTAAAATCGCTCGATATGATGTCTGCTTTTAAATATACGGTCGGTCTTATGTTATTCATGATATACACCTTTTCCTTATCCCAGAATGGTACTCAGGTAGCTTTGGCGGTAAGAAAGTGTTAAGGTTAGCCTTAAAGAGTGTATTAATTTATTAAATCTTCTTAGCTTTTCTTTATTCATTTTACACTTTAAATACATTTTCGTTTTCTTTTAGAGTGACAAAGTAATGCCAGCTGCTTTCTATAACAATTGGTATGAGGGCGATCTGGCTTATCGGAAAATGATTCTCATTTTAATGATACGTGCTACGAAGCCTTATATGTGGAGAACCTACAAGCTGGCACCTGTATCCATTACTACCTATATGGCTGTAAGTTTTTTAAAATTTAATTAATTTACATTTTTAACTTTTGTTTCTTCTAATAGACGTTGAAGTTATCTTATCAAATATTTACCTGCGTGCGCTCCTTAAAATAAATGGAAAATATGCAATCTACTAGAGCTTAGCTCTAAAACTATACTTATCAATATCATATTTAACCACAAAATGTTTTAGAAATTTGCTTGTAGCACTTAATTAATTTACATATTTAACTTTTGTTTCTTCTAATAGACGTTGAAGCTATCTTATCAAATATTTACCTGCGTGCGCTCCTTAAAATAAATGGAAAATATGCAATCTACTAGAGCTTAGCTCTAAAACTATACTTATCAATATCATATTTAACCACACAATGTTCTAGAAATTTGCTTGTATCACTTAATTAACTTACATCTTTAACTTTTATTTCTTCTAATAGACGTTGAAGTTATCTCATCAAATATTTACCTGCGTGCGCTCCTTAAAATAAATGGAAAATATGCAATCTACTAGAGCTTAGCTCTAAAACTATACTTATCAATATCATATTTATCCACAAAATGTTCTAGAAATTTAATTGTAGAAAATGCACTTACTAATCAACTATTTGTATTAAAATGAACATATATAACCCAAGTAAGAAAAGTATATCTTTTTTGTGGTACTTTGGTTATCATGAGGTATGTGTTAAATATTTTTACGATAAAACGATAAACGATACCTACTTTCGAATGATATACTAAAATTTTGCAAAAAATTTAAATTAAACATACTATCAAACTGGCAAACATTTATTTAATGCCTAAAGCTAATTAAATTTTTGAGAAACCCCAACGAGTTGACCCAGAAATTTGCTCACTCACTTGCTGCACAACAATGCATAACAAAGTAAACCCCTGAAAAACGCAATTTAAGACAGCATGAAAGACAAAAACCTCGGGGTATACGAATATGTAGAGGGATATTTGAAAGGAAGCCAACTGAGTGCCCGCTTCAGTGCTTTTGTGGCTGGCACTAAGCAAACTTATTAAAGCCAGACAAAGGTTGTTCGGGGGCGCAGATTGGGAAGGAGCATCCAACTTTTCATTTCGGAAATACAGGAGCGTAAAATTAAGTTCTTTGCTGGAATTGGTGGAATTATGTACAAGTCACCTGGCTGTCCATGTCCCTTCACCCGGCCATCGTCCGTCATATGCTGGGTCTGAGTGCCTGAGATGGGTGTTATTATCACGTCGTTATCCGGGATCAGTGGCAACGGCGTTGCCATCGTCTCCTGCCCACCTCCTGCTCCTCCTTCATCTTGATGGGAATGGGAGTGGGCGTGGGACTGGGACTGGGACCCTTGTCCTTGTTTTATATAATAACATTTTAATTCCCTTAATACACGCTACGCTGCCCGCAAAGCCAAACAAACTGAAATTCCGCCCAGGAGTTGTTGCTTTCGCCTCTTTTTTGGCTCTCAAGTTGGCCAAGCATTTTGCTGTTTTGTTTTTTCGGTTAGTTCGTTTGTGCGTGCAAATCATTAATCACGAGCAGCGCATATTTATTGTTCTGCTTTCGATGACAGCTTTTTGCTGGCCATGGATTTTGCACGTTCCATTTCCTGCCCGTTCTTCCCTCGATTAAAGATTTAATATTTAAACGGCTGGCGGAAAAATCTGTATTTCATTCAATTATTTCCATCAGTAATATTCCATAATATAAAATAAATATAATTAATTGCTTGATAGGTCTGACAAAATAATTTGAAAGACTTTATGAATTTTAAACAGACTATTATGATTTTTGATTAAATAATATGTTGAAAGAAAAATTTAGATACTCTTAATTAAATACAATATAGTTAAACAGGTAAGCATTATTGGTTATTTTACATATTTGTTAGACCCTTAGACTATCAGTATTAATTCTCGTAGCAGCGATTATATGGGCTAATTGCAATCGGGCTGTTAGTTGTGCAAAGCCTTTCCAGCTGACAACTCACAAAAGCACGTTTGGCAGTTAATTGAGTCATCAGCTTAGACAACAGCCGGGTTGGCCATGAAAAAGATTGTGAATTGCCCAATCATGTGGAAGTGACTGCCAAGACCTTTAAAGTACACACGTCCCAGTGGCCAGGACAATAGCCAAAGGAACGAAGAAATTTGGCCCGAGGATCTCCCCCATCTTGCCCTCTCACAAAATCGACAGTCTGTATAAAAATTGACTAGGCCAGGAGGGGTGGCAGGATACGGCTGCAGGATCATCATTGCAGGCATTTGCTACTTGTTTACCCAGGGCTCTAGACCCATTCTCTATTCCCCGCTCCTCGCTTCCCAAGTCCTGACCATAGCCTTGATAAGTTTTTAGCAAACAAAGGCGGCTCGTTACAGCAACATGGGTCTTGGGAATTGGTTGGGTGAACCAAAACAAACCAAACTGAGCCAAACCGAGCTGAGCTGCGATGTGCATTTAAAATTGCATACACAAAACACGAAAATTCCCACAGCCCTGCTGCCCTGCTGCCAGAGTCAAAACCACAAAATGTACTCAAACAACATGTCTCAATTTCGTAGTTAGACTTGTCCCACTCCTACAAGGGTCGAGGAAACGGAGATGTGGTCTTGGTTGAGTCACCCGAAATGGTAATTGAAAATGTTATGTAAAATTGGTGGGTAGAGGGTAGCGATATTGTGGTCCACAGAAACGGTAGGACATAATTGGCTTTGGTTTGGAACCGTTTAAAAGTTATAGACTAGATTGTAGCAATCTTGTGTTATGGCCATTTCGGGCAAATGCTTTGCTCAATTTTAAAATGGGAATCTTTAATGCTTTATTTTAGAAACTAAAGAGCTAAATACTATATAAGTTTCTTTTAAATTTTTAAAGAACCTCTTGAATTATCAATGTTCTAATGCTCCTCCACAGTGGTTCATTTACAAAAGCTAGTCCGTTGTCCATCAATTACTTAGCCTTATCTGTTGGGGCCATATGGTGTCACCCCAACTTGTGGCAAAGAGGGGACAAAAATGTAATAACAACGGGATGGCGAAATTTTTACACACAATTTAGACACATTTCCGCACGTAGCCGAGGCCAAGCCTAAGCTCCATGTGCTTCATAACGCGATGCTGGAAAACAAAAGCTAAAGCAAAGCTAAAAGGAAAAACCGCCACTGCGGAAAACGTCAAAAAATGCGACGAAGAGGAAATAATGTTGGTAGGTTTTTCCGAAAAAAAACAAACATATAAAAAAGGCGAATAAAAAAGACCCTCTGTTCATCGCTTTCCGTCTGGCTTCAAAATTTAAGAACATTTTCATATAATAGCCATGGACTCAGAAATTCAACACAAAATTGTAATTGTTATGTTGGTTAATTTTATTTAAATACATTATTGGTCAATTTTGTTTAAAGGGTATTAACAAATCTGTTTTACTTCACAAAATATCCGATGCGCTAACTTGAAACACCGCCACCAGTTGCCCCCGAAAAAATCTGTTAGCATTTGTGTCTATTAAGCTTGAGCAATAAACTTCATAAATTCCACAAATTAGAATGATTAAATTTCATGTCCGTGTAATTTCCAGCCAGCAGACGTGCCCACCGCTTTGGATAATCAAATTTTTCACTGCCTGTCGACCAAATTAATGGAAAGTGATTTGGAAAAAGCTAGGTCAAAACCTTTGATCTGCTGGCTAAACGCAAATACAAAAGGCTGTCATCGGTGGGCTAAAATCTTTCAATTGAATAATGTATGTCAATCTATCTTGACAGGGTAATCAGGTTTTGAAAATTCGTCACTTTTACAAGCTAATACAGCAGATACCCATTAAGACCAATTTTTATGTCAATTGTAAGCAGTGCAAAATTCATTTGATTTTCTTTTGACATGATATAAATGGTTTGGTTATTATTAAATTTCCTGTTGTGCATTTAATTGGAGTGGCTTTTGTGTGTACCTTCGCTTTGAAAATACAATAATTATCCTGGACAATAAGCATTTGAATATAACCGATGCCTACTGTTTATCCAATATACCATACGGCAATTGTCGTTTGTTCGGAAGCGACACAAATTGGTCATACGATGTCCGGCGATAATTATTGTCAATTTATTGAATGCTCATTATTGAAATATCACTCATACGCCACATTGGCATGCTAATAAAGCCATTGAAACGAACGTTCGATGTCCGCAGCGAACTTTTGGGGCCGCAACCGCAACGCAGTTGCAACATTTGCATGTGTGTGAGTAATAAATATACAGCTCTGGTTAAAAAAATAGTTACTACTTTTTATTTAATGTTTTAAATTGGGTAAATTATCGCACAATTTTACAGAATCATATGATTAAAGTTTTATTTACACATATTCTCATTTCTCAGTTGAGACTTTGAATTTGCATTTGAGATGTTTGACACTCAGACCTTTTCTCAAAAGACAAAACCTTAAATAAGAAATCGGCATGAATAAAAATGCCTTAATTAATCAGAATATTTAATTTTCTCAAGAACTACTCATATATGTAATATATATACAATTTTCGACTTACCTTTTATTTAGTTTGTATTTGTAGCGTCGTTAAAAATAAAGAAGCATTAAAAAAAACTTGAATCGAAGAGAATTCAACCACTTAACGGGGTACACGAACTAAATAAAGAATTGCCAACTGCACGTTTTACTTAGTTGTCTAATTTTTGTTGTTTAAACATTTACAAGTGATATTCCTATAATTTTGACCGCAACGTAAATAGTGCTGTATCAGGAGTGAGTGTCAGGTCGTGTCTATGTCACTGCGAACAGAACGACCGCGCAATCACGATGACGATGCCACCTATTTCCAATTACCGATGATGCTGAGCGAGCAGCAAAGGCACATCGACATCGACGCACAGACCCACAGTCCCACCGACGCGGCCATGATTGATTGCAACAAAACCAGATTTTGGTTACTGTCATTTAAGCGCCGACTAACTTTCGAGTTGGACGCCGCCCAAATCGAACCTTCGTCGTTGCTGTCGACTACGCCGTATGTTTAATGCAGGGGATAATTTTAATTGCGCCCCGGCTGCATTTTTAATTAAACGCAAAATTAAAAATTGATTGCTTTTTGACGCCATAACTTACATGGCGATAA